AAGTTTCACAAGTTATCCTAGATAACCTGTGTGTTTTATAATGACACCACATTTAACATTTTTTTGTATAATTACTGAGAATGCTTCAAGCTATCTTATTTTCATATTCTATGTTTGATACGTGTTCTCTGTTTTGTAGACAATAACCTCTATTTGGTGATTTCTATAGCCAGTTAATTTTGTTATAGATTTTGACTTAGGTTATTTTTTTGTTGATTTGAACGATTAAGTTCCAAATCCGGATAGCCATCCTGAACAAGGATTGTCATTATTCCTTCCACACTTTTGATTCTCTCCCAAAACATACTTATGCAAGAAAAGACACTCAATTATTTTTTCTGGAAGCCCATCCTGAAAGTACGACAAGCTATTCTAGATAGCACGTGTGTTTTATAATGACACCACATTTAACACTTTCTTTGATATAATCACTAAAATGCTTTAAGCTATCGTATGTTCATGTTCTACGTTTGATACGTGTTCTCCGTTTTATAGACAATAACCTCTATTTGATAATTTCTATAGCCAATGAAAAATTTTTTTATATAATTTGGTTATGCTGTTTTGTTTTTTGTTGTTTTGCACGATTAAGTTCCAATTCATGATAGCCATCTTGAACAGGGACTGTCTAAGATTCCTTACACTCTTTTGATTCTCTCCCAAAGCATACTTATGCAAGAAAAGACACTCATTTTTTTTTTCTGGAAGCCCATCCTAAAAGTTTCACAAGCTATCCTAGATAACACGTGTGTTTTATAATAACACCACATTTAACACTTTCTTTGATATAATTACTAAGAATTCTTCAAGCTATCTTATTTTCATGTTCTATGTTTGATACGTGTTCTATGTTTTGTAGACGATAACCTATAATTGGTGATTTCTATAGCCAATTAGATTTTGTATAGATTTTGATTTAGGTTGTTTTTTTTTTGTTGATTTGGATGATTAAGTTCCAATTCAGGATAGCCATTGATATCACTCAAATGTTTAACCCTAAGGAGTGATTTACTATCTCAAATAAGAGGTTCAGTTGTAGTACTTAGGGATCGAATCCACAGGGAACTAAGGAACACAATAGATGTAATCCTAAGTGATTATGCTCTAAAATAGTAAATTGCAGTTTGTAAGCAATGGTAAGTTGCTCAAGAGAATAGTTTTTGGTTTAAGACAATAAAAGAAAGTAGTTAAATTCAAGGTTACTATTCAGATAATCAGGATTATAATGCTACAGATGTTTTAGTGAATTGCTTGCAAGATATATAAGAACTTCGATTCTTAGACAGATCTAATAGCAGTCGCTAAATAGACTCATCCATTGATCTTATTGCCGGCAATATCAACCGATATTTTGACAGCGATATCGGACGATATGGGTTGCCGTCGATCGATGACTCTATAGGAGTTTCGATCGATATAGCATAAGATTGAATCGAAACTGTGTTCACCAAGATCATAGACCGGCTCTCACATATCCCTAGGGGATCTAAGCTTACGCCAAATGATTTCAGGACAATGATTAACAAGTTAAATCACATCCATGATCATACTCTAGGTAGCTACTCTAGAGTAAGAATTAGGGTTAATTTGGATAATGAATATCAACAACTCAACATTCCATAGTTGAGGCTAATCCCTCATAACTATTTGAACCCTAAATCTAACAAAGAAATCTACTCAGACATAGCTGAGAGATTCATAACAGCAAGGTAATAATAGAAACTCATAGATTAGAAGATTGAACTTTTGGTTCTTGGAACAACAAATCTCTTTGTGTGTTTCTTCTAAATCTAGAATTCTATAACATTTAAGAATTAAGATGAAAAGAAATACTTTATTGCTAAGTATAGAATAGTATCAAAAGAACAAAAGAACTTGAAAGAATTCAAAAGCATACAAAGCACAAGAAAGCATGCCTTGCCAAACACATAGGCAAAAACTATAAATATGAGTTCCATTAGGTTAAAAATTCGTCCGGGGCATAATTGTAATATTGGGAAGACTTGGGTTTCAAGTCAGCCAAGTCGGACTTGTTCTCCACGCTTCATATCGATCGATGGTACACGGTGTACATCGATCGATGGAGTATCTCGACTTCATCTTCTATGGAAGCGTCATCGATCGATTACACAGGGTGTGTATCGATCGATATGTATCCTTGTTGTCTGATCTTCATAGTCATCTCGGAAAACTCTCCTTTAAGCTCCATAAGGGCACCTAAATCATCACTTTACTCCAAAATGCTCCTGAACCTGAAAACATACCTAATAAACTCCAAAACATATATAAAACTTATAAAAGCATATCAATACCATGGCTAAAGGCGGGTCAAAATCATGGTATATCAGCCATCCTTGAGAAGGACTGTCTAACATTCCTTACACGCTTTTTATTCTCTCCCATAGTATACTTATGCACGAAAAGACACTCATTTTTTTCTGGAAGCTCACCCTGAAAGTTCCACAAGTTATCCTAGATAACATGTGTGTTTTATAATGACACCACATTGAACACTTTATTTGATATAATTACTAAAATGTTTAAGCTATCTTATTTTCATGTTTTATATTTGATACGTGTTCTCTGTTTTGTAGACAGTAACATTTAATTGGTGATTTCTATAGACAATGAATTTTTTTTATAGATTTTCATTATGTTGTTTAGTTGTTTTGGATGATTAAGTTCCAATTCAGTATATCCATCCTAAAAACGACTGTCTAACATTCCTTACATGCGTTTGATTCTCTTTTAAAACATACTTTTGCAAGAAAAGACACTCTTTTTTTTTATGGAAGCACATTCTGAATGTTTTACAAGCTATCCTAGATAACACGTGTATTTTATAATGACACCATATTTAACACTTTCTTTGATATAATTACTGAGAATGCTTTAAGCTATCATATTTTCATGTTCTATTTTGATACGTGTTCTGTGGTTTGTAGACAATAACCTCTATTTGGTGATTTCTATAGTCAATGAACTTTTTTTTTAATAGATTTTGATTATGTTCTTTTATGTTTTGGTTGTTTCTGAAGATTAAATTCCAATTTAGGATACCCATCTTGAACAAGGACAATCTAACATTTTTTACACGCTTTTGATTCTCTTCCAAAACATACTTATGCAAGAAAAGACACTCATTTTTTTTCTGGAAGCCCATCCTAGATAACACATGTGTTTTATAATGACACCACATTTAACACTTTCTTTTATATAATTACATAAAATGCTTCAAGCTATCTTATTTCCATGTTCTATGTTTGATACGTGTTCTCTGTTTTGTAGACAATAACCTCTATTTGGTGATTTCTATAGTCAATGATTTTTTTTTATAGATTTTGATTATGTTGTTTTTTTTGTTGATTTTGAAGATTAACTTCCAATTAAGGATAGTCATCTTGAATAAGGATAGTCATCTTGAATAAGGATAGTCATCCTGAACAAGGACTGTCTAACATTCCTTACACTATTTTTTCGGAAACCTATCTTGAAAATTCTGCAAGTTATCCTGGATAGCTCGTGTGTTTTATAATGATACCATATTATTATTTATTCACACAGCAAGAGTGTATTATTGTATACCAAATGTTATGCAACTTAATAACATGTCTCATAAATAAATGGAGCCAAGGTATAAACTAAATGTCATTAAGGTCTGAATATAGAAAGCAGAAAAAATCTTTTTTGAATTTCAAAGCTTTATCCAAACTTGTCTCCAAGAAAAATCAGTTGGAAAACATCTCCATAAGTAATATTAATCAGCTGAAATTGAAAAAAAAAATCAGTGATAATAATATGAAATTGAAGAGATTTTGAGATCTATTACAAGAAAATGAAGAAAGCACTTGAATTTTCTTAGCTTTGTTTAGGTCCTTCGTCGTCTTCTCCTTCTTCCTTCCTCTTTTTTGAATTTGAAGAAATCAAAATCAAAATATTTGTAGATATCAGATTCAGAGAGCGGAGAACAACACTTTTGATCGGTGCTCGTTGCTTCACCTCTTGATTTTTTTCCGATGACGTTGAGAGGAGGCGACAATCCAAACCAAAATTGGTCATGTTCTTCAATCACTTTTCTCTGATCCAATTGGATGCTTGAGCTCATGCAGAGCTAGTAATTAAGGTATTGAATCTTCCATTCTGTTCATGTCCTGCGTAAACCAAACCAAAACAAAATATTCAAATAGTATCAAACTTTCTGAAAAGCTATCCTGAAAGTACGAAACACCTTCCTGAAACCAAAAGAAAAAACCCCAAAAGTTTTCCCAAGCAAATTCCTCTCAGTCACACTCACGAACACAAGCAAATTTCTTCTGGCTCATTTCACACACAAATTTTTCAAACATTATCATATCACCCAAGTTAACTATAAAGATCCCCTTCCCTAGACATCTAATAGATGCGAACAAACAACAAATGAATATGTCAGCAGGATATAAAGGTGGGATCTAAAGGAGAAATCAAAATCAACCAGTTGTTTGAGAAAGCTAAGCTTAAAACAATACAAGTTTTCAGAAGCAAACTCATCACAATCACACTGAGGAACACAAAGCAACTCTTCTGGCTCATCTCACACACACAATTTTCAAAGCAAGCGTCAAGAAACTTGACTAAATCAGGCATAAAGCCAGAGTCTCCCATTGTCTCTTAACATCTTCTGGTTAGCTACAGAGCCTAGACGTAACCTTCAAGGCTGATTCTTGAACAAAGATCTCCCCGTTAGTTAGAAGATACAGCAAATGATCCAAGAACTTGCAACTCATCAATGCATTCAAACAATCGGGCAACCCGAAACAGAAGTTATCGATTGCCCTTAACTCTATCTCCTTACATTTGGAAGATGACAATGGATCGGGATCTGATAATATACCTCTTGATCTCTTCAACACAAACGAGATTCCTCAACACTCCACACGAGCACTGTTAAAAATCTAAATATGAGATAAATAAATCTTGATAAGAGAAGAAATAGAAACATAAAACATTCAAAATCGCTTACCTAAGGCAAAGTCACAAACTCGTCTTCTTCCGTAATCCAAATTTATATGTAAATAAACTTCCTGAAATTTCTTCTTTGCCACTCTTATTATGTCCTTTCTGTTTGATTCAAACAACAAAATAAGTTCAAATGTGTTACCTGAAGAACACCAAACTGAAACCCCTAGATTTCAAGTCGAAAACCCTAAGTAAAATTAACATTTTCTTCATAAAATATTGATAATAATGATTAAAGCATACTGATACACAGCTCGTTACGTTCGTCGCCGGAGATTATCAACAGCTCGTCGGCGGAGGTGATTCGTCGGAGGAGGTAATTCTTCATAATGTTGTCGAGAGAGAAGAAGAGATTTTTTTGTTAACTGTATTATTTAGTGAGGGTATTAGAGACATTTTGCATATTAATGAATGTCATTTCTGTGACATTTCCCCTCTGATGTTATTTTATAGACAAAAACTTCAAAAATGCTATTATGGAGAATTGCCCTATTTTAATTTGTAGGATTTTGGAACTGATTGAATTTATATGTTACTAATGCAAATCATGAAAAAAGGTTTTTATGCAATGAAATTAGTGGAAACCACCATACCCAAACAAATGTGAGATCATTTTAGGTAACTATCTCATTTGATTTATCAAAAACTTGCTTGAAAGTATCAAAAACTATGAAGTAATACCTTATTTCAATCAATGAATGAATGTAATATTTTAATATTAATGTTTTTGGTTACATTTTTTAATATTATATTATATTTTTATTTTATATTATATAGTTAATAATTATTTACATTTTAATTAAATATTAGTGTACCCAATATAAAAATTTCCTGGTTTCCCCCTGTACATTAACCATATATGTTAACTCTATGACTCTCAAAAAGAAATCAACTAAGATTAATAGATTGATTAATAATTTTATATCGTACCATATATCTTACCTGTCATTTGAGTCTAATTAGTTAGGTTGACCAATTTTAATTCGTGTAAATTTTAGAACAGGTCGATGGTTCGCACTGAGTTGGAAAACTTTCAGTTTGCGTTGTCAGTTTGTATTCTGGTTTCAAACTAATACGATACTGCATTTAGTCAAAAATAAAAACTAATACGATACTGCAGTTACAAAAAGAACAAAGAAAAAAAAACAAACTAAAACGATACACTGTTTATTTTTTTAAGTTGGAAATCTCAGCAAGTTCTCATTCAGACGATACTGTTACATTATTACAAAGTATTAGACAACTAAGCCTTTCGTCAACAA